GTTTGGTGTAGTGATTAAGTCTGCGGACTCTAATCTGGGAGAACCGGGTTTGGTTCCCCACTCCTCCGCTTGCACCTGCTGATGTGACCTTGGGTCAGTCACAAGCTCTGGCACAGCTGTCCTTGAAAAAGAGCAGTTTGTGTCAGAGTTCTCTCAGCCCCACCCACCTCACAGGGTGTCTGTTGTGGGGAGGGGAAGGGAAAGGAGTTTGTAAGCCGCTCTGAGACTCCAAGTGAAGGGCGGGGTATAAATCATATCTCTTCTTCTTCTTCTTGCTCTGACTGAGGGCTGCTGGGAGCAGGGGGTGGGGCTTGTTGCATGTGCCTGCCCCCTGGGCTCTTTACTGCTGGAGCTCTGCTCCTGTGCGCTCCTGCAGGAAATGATCCCTGTATAAAAGCATGACTGACTAAGTTCATAGAATGTAGCGTTTAAAGGGATGGTATAGTATATAAGCTATTTTGAGGATCTCTCTTGGGTTTTTAGTCAGTAGTGGTTATCTTTACTTTCTCCCTAAATGTAGTGCCCCTCCCTTTTTTCATTGTAGTTTGTAGTCTATATATAAAATGCAATTAAAAAATCGCCTCCGGGGGGCCAAAAAACAACAACACAAAACCCAACTTTTCTTCTTCTTCCCGGTGAGTGCTAGTGTGCTGTAGGGTCACAGCCAACTCATAGTGACACCATGAAGTTCCGTCTCGTCGGGTTTTTGAGGCAAGAGATGAGCAGAGGTGCCATGGCCTCCCTCTGCATAGCAGCCCTGTCTTCCTTGTAATCTCCCATCCAAGTACTGACCCTTTTTAGCTTCCAAGTGCTGACAAGATGAGGCTAGTCTGGCCTCTTAGAGATGCTACATAGCTGAAGTCATTCTCTTTGTAATGTATTCAGAAGCTGCCATGAATGCATTAAGATGTATGTGAAACATCTCATAGGGAAGCAATGTTAAGCTTCATCTTGGGCAGGGATTCAAGCCCAAGGCAAATGTGTCCAATCACGTTCAAGCAAGCTGTAAGCGGGAACAAAGGTGATTGGCTCTTATACGCTCTATCGTATTGGTTGTTATGTGTATAGTAGGCGTGGCTATATTAGCCGGGAAATGTTTAAATACCGAGCAGCTACTATGGACAAGCTGTTTGGGCTATCAGATGTTGTACCGTGTTGGAGAAGTGTTCGTGTTGAAGATTAAACTTGAGTTTTTGCTGAAATCACTCTCTGACTATTTGTTAAGCGCTGGACTTAACACTCTTCCTTTCCCTAACTGCTGCAACCTCAACCTCAGTTTCCACACTGACTACTGTGAAGTAGTACATTATTACTTAATGCACACTAAGGAGCTTAGGAATTTCACCTGAGTATTCTGCATTTTACCTGAGTTTTCTGCCCTGCTTCTGAGGAGGTTTCCAGGATACTTGCTGTACGCAAGGAGAACATTCATTTATCGAGGCCCTGATTGGGTCAAGGTATTATGTAAGTGCTAGTGACCAGAGTTACGAAACTGAAGGTATAACTTCCTTGTAATTGTATTAGACCCAAATGGGGAAACAGAATCCAGAAGACTCCATTTTCAAAGGGTTTTCTGAATTCCTTGGGAGTTCAAAGTCTGTCTTTCTTCCTCCAGGGCACAATGATGCCACTGTTAGCATTCAGTTTCTTAGTTTTATATTGTATGCTCTGTGTCTCTGCCCTGTTATTGCCTACCATTTATGTGTGCTTGTGCATAAAGTGTCGTCAAGTCGCTGCTGACTTCTGGTGACCCCAGCAAGGGGCTTTCAAGGCAACTGAGAAGGAGGGGTGGTTTGCCATTGCCTTCCTCTGCAGTCTTCCTTGGTTGTCTCCCTTCCAAGTACTGACCCTGCTTAGCTTCTGAGATCTGATGAGATTGACTATGCCATGTCATCTTACCTCCCCTACACTATGTACTGATTTTAAAAGATGTAGCATTTTAAGATTGAGGTATGCGTATGGAATATGCATTTACAACTCTTTAATAAGCATTACTTGTGTTTGTTTTAAATGTCAGGTGTTGGACTGTGATCAAGGAAGATGGACGTATACTATCTGCTAAGCAGGAACCTCGCTTGGTGCTAGTTTCTGTAACTTGTGAATCTGGTCATTTAACCTTAAGTGCTCCAGGAATGAAAACACTGAGTATTCCTGTCAAACTCCCCATAACAAATTCCATCTACAATTGCAGGTAGTAGATTGTTTTTCTCCTTGCAACCTGGAAACTGGAGCTTTCTATTTACAATGATCTCTCACAGTTTAGATGAGGAAATATTAAGTTGCATGTAGGATGTGTGTGTACATTTGAGTGAGAGCTCTCTCCCTCTCCCTCTCTCTCTCTCTCTCACACACACAGAGAGAGAGAGAGAGAGAGAGAGAGAGAGAGAGAGAGAGAGAGAGAGAGAGAGAGAGAGAGAGAGATAGATTACATCCTATATCAATGCTGGACTAGATGGACCACTTGTCTGATCCAGCAAGCTCTTATGTTCTTATGTTTATCGTCTTTTATCATTACATAGCTCTCTCTTTTCTGCTCCTTATTTCTCTGTAGAATAGTGACCTACAATACCATCCTAAGCTGCGTTACACCTTTCTAAGTCCATTGAAGTCCGTGGGCTGAGTAGAGTGTAACTTTGTTTAGGATGATACTGCCAAGCACCATCTTGGTAAAAAGCAAAATATGGAAAGCGGATGAAATGGGTTGAAGGTAATTTTATGATGTGAAGTATTACACTAAATGTACAGCTTTTAAAAGGGCACATGTGGGTACATTTCTATGGTCCTTTAGGCGCTTTGGAGTCCATGCTGAAGGGAGGGACTGTGGAGATGAAGCAGCTCAGTGGATCACAACCTTCCTGAACTCAAAGCCTTACAGAATGGTCCATTATGAAACAGATATGAAGACAAGGAAGCCAGTTAGTTTCCTGCCTCTGTTCCAGCCTACAGATGAGGTGAGAGTCCCATTTCTCCCCCAAACATTTTTTTCAGTATTTGCTAAAGTGTTTGGACTGCCAGTTACTATTTGCTTAACACTTTTGCATATCCAAGGATGCCACTGTGGTGTTGGTTTCAGGGCGAAGTCCCAAGCATATTCACTTGGAAATAAGTTCTGTCAAATTTAGTAGGAGACTCTCTAAATGTGATTAGGATGATGAGAGCATTGCATGATGTCATTTGCTAGAAAATAAATGATGTATCAATTCCTTACTGGCTTTGATCATGTAGTATTCAGCTGTGGAGAGCATGGCATTTTGCTTAAAAGATGAACAGGTCCATGCAGTACATTAGATATGACAAGGGGGGACCCGCGATACTCGCGGGGGGGGCAGTCTCTCTCTTCCCCCCATTCTCTCTCTTCCCCCCAGTCTCTCTCTCTCTCTCTCCCCCTTTCTCTCTCTTCCCCCCAGTGTCTCCCCCTTCTCTCTCTTCCCCCCCAGTCTCTCTCCCTCTCCCCCCCACTCTCTCTCTCTCCCCCCTCTCTCTCTACGCCCCACAGTCTCTCTCTCCCCCCTTCTCTCTCTTCGCCCCACAGTCTCTCTGCGAGGCTCCTTAGCGGCAGCGGCGTTCCCCCCCCTCACCCCCCTAGCCCTGACGTTGCCCGGCCGCCCGGCTGGCTCCGAGGCGGCGGCGGCGAGGCTCCTTAGCGGCTGCGGCGGCTCCCTCGCCACTCGCCCCCCCCTCGCTGCTCGCCGCTCACCGCTCCCCTTTCAAGCAGCGGCGGCGGCAGCCTCGGTTGCCAAGCGTTCCGTGCGCATGCGCACGGAACGGTCTTGCACTTTCGGGGGGATTTAAACATCCTCCCGAAATTTTTTTCAAGGTTTAGCATTTTTGTGCACACGTGGGGACTGGCCCACGTGTGCACAAACCTCCCCCTCCCCCCAAGTGCCCCCGGAGCGCTGATTTAGCGATCCGCACTCATGGGGGCAACTTGGCTATTAGATATATAGATTGGTCTTTTCCTTTGGGTGGTCCGCTGATCTACTTTTTTCACACCATTTGATCTCTCCCTGCTGTTGTCCAGGGTGGAATCTTCCTACTCATGTTTTAAAAATGCATGTTGGGAAGTGGCCAGAAAAGGTCAATGTAATCATGTCACCTGTAATTGTTACACCTAGGACTTCATGCTTGTTTTATCCGAATCTTTTTTTTTTTGTCAATGCAGACGTGTTTGTCTTCATCTGTTTTCTTCTTTACAAGTTGGAGAAATACAGGTGTCATGCATGGTTGCTATCAGTATATGATCTTTGTATGCAAGACTAAGAACACTCTTAGAAACAGTGCCAAGTTCCCCTTCCTTTGGGTACCTTTTTTGTATTCCTAGGTGTTTGTCACCTGATACTTTTGCACCCTGGACCTATTTTTAGTACCACAGCTGTTTTTGTTTTTTTAATATTGGTATGAATGAACTAAAATAAGGGAACCATTGATGCTTACTGGATAATCCAGCCAAAGTTAAGAAATACAAAGGCCCATTGATTTCAGAGGAAGAGATGTATGTTTGCTTAACCTCATCCACTGAAATCAAAAGGATATAAAAGTTGACTGGATTTTGTCCTTAGCTTGGATTAACTACCCTTGTACTATTTTTAATTTTTTTTTTTTAGCTGAGGTGGGCCGTAACCCTGACCTTGCAAAGTGATTAGAATTTGTCTTCTTTTTATTAAACAAATGAACGATGAGGATATTTCTTCTTTGGAGCAATTGCTAGGATGCAATTACTAGAAGGCATTTTTTTAAGTGCATGGAATGATTCTACTGCTTGATAAAAACTTAGGCAAATTTCATGCCCTAGCAGAAGGTAGTTCAATAAGAGAATCATAATGGAAACTGTCAACACCAGCCCTCTTTGTATTTATGTGTACAGGTTGCCTATGCTGAAGCCAGTCCAATCTTGTTAATTTCTGAAGCTTCCTTGCAAGATCTCAATGCCCGGTTAGAGAAGAAAATAAGAATAACCAATTTCCGGCCAAATATAGTTGTTACAGGTTGCGCTTCTTATGAAGAGGCAAGTAATGTGTTAAAATGTGTACTGGGAATACTGCATTCACAATCCTTAGTTCTTGGCTAAATATCCCTCCCCAGTATCTCTGAAAGGAAGGTCTTGAAAACTGGGTGTGTAGCTTGAAGTATCATATTGGGCAATAAATATTTGCTGTTTATGATCTTCTGATACAAAGATCCCATCGCATGCCTACTTTGGGTTCAACTCTTGACTTGCCTTTTCACCTCTTCCCTCTTGTATGTTCTCCATTTGTGAGAAAAGTTTTGTTTAGTTATATTTTGCTGTTTTTAAATTCAGTATTTTAAAATCCTGTTCTTTTAAATCTCTTTACCTTTCTCCATACCCACACAAGTCCATTTGCAATGATTTAAAATTTTAATATAGTGTATTTTAGTAGAATTTTGCATTTTAGGAATATTGTGAAATGTTTTGGGGTCTCAAGTTCAAAAATCAGTGTGCAATGTCAATAAAATACACTATCAAATACATAAATGATGAGGGTATTAGAAAGCGGCCTACTATAGTATCAGTATAAATTAATTTTATTATTTCTTCATTTAAACTATTTATATGCTGTCTTTCCACCCAGATAGGGTTCCCAAGGCCTATGCACAATAGTTAAAATGAAAACACTTGCCTAAATTATTTATTTTTATGCTGCCTCACCAGAGTCCTGCTATAATGTGTGATGGTTCTGTGTTTCTGTAGGATACATGGGTTGAGATATCGATTGGTCAGGTGAGGCTGAAAGGACGAATGTGTTGTCCCAGGTAAGGGCACCAAGCATTGGTCTCTGCAGCACTTTGGTTTATGCCAGCAGATCTTTTTGAGTATTTCTACCTCAAACAGGGCCCATCCTGGAATTAGGTGTGGTGGCCTCAGGTGGGGGATTTTGAGGACCAACAGCCTCTGCATTCAGTAACTAAAAATTGGTCCTCATTAGATGAAGTTAAGACTATTTTTGAAGGAGTATGTTAGTAGGATACATCTCTTAATTTAATATTTTCTGTAATTGCAGGTGTATTTTCACAAAGGTTGATCCAGACACTGGGATTATGGATAAGAAGGAACCACTAAAAACGCTGAAAAGGTAGCAAACATATTACCACTTGTTTTGTGTACTTTGTGTGTTTCAATATGCTTGCTTGCAATTACATGTTTGGCACCATGATGTTCAGGATCAAATGGTTGCCATTTGGATGTGAGAAAGCCTTTTGCAGTCCCAACATTACATATGAAAGGTCATATCATCTCATACAGGGCAAACCAGCCATTGCACTTACCAGGAAAGCTTGCAGTGAGCTGTGGGTGGGCAGGAACAAGGACTGCCAAGCCCCTGGAATTCCACCAGCCCTGCAGGAGTTTCTTGGATCAGACCCTTCAACAGCTAGAGTGATTGGTGTCATCTCATCAGTTGCCTCCTTCCTCTGTTGCCCCCCACCTGAGGCAGTGGGTGAGATGATGCCCACCATTGGCACTGCTAGCCAGGTCTGACCTGAGTGGTCCCTGCAATGTTGGCTTGTTCCTGAGCCACTGAAATTTCCCAGCCCACCCCAATCTCACAGCACCCGTCTCAGACACAGCACTTCCCTTTGGAGTTGGCTCACACATCCAATTGTAAGTCATCACTTATTGAGTAATCATGTATGAAACCAGCACCCCCCATTCCCATTGGAGGGTTTGAATGTCCCGCCAAAGTGGCTATTGGTTGGGGCTGGGGGATCCAGGATCCGAAGTTTCCATTGTTCTAGGATCCAAGCTCTTGCCTGTGCCGCAGACCCCTCTTGGCGGCCCGCGTACATAACACAAGCTAAGGTGTTAAGGCTCAATAATAAAGAGTCTTGTGTGGACCAGTTTCCTCTTAACAAATTAACTGATTCTTGTACACTTCTAAGGTTTCCTGGACTGGTCTCCCTCTTGCCACTTCCTTTAACCAATACTTAACAGCAGCAATTGGAAAATTTTTAAAAATTAACTATTCTACATTATACAAGATCCTGAAGTTTAAAAGGGATGTGTGCTTTTTAAAGTGCTTTTACATGGAAGTTTTGAAAGGGTTTTTAGAATTTCATTGATTCTCTTCCAATACAAGCACAGAAGTGTTTGTAACGTGCTTCTCCGATTGCTGTTCTTCATGGTTCAATCTATCGGAGCACTTAGCGGCACTACCAATTGTACAACACTTGATTGACTCTCGCATTTTTAAGGGGGGAGGAGTACCTTTTCACTGAGCACTTGCCATGCTCTGGTTTAGTACCAAAGACAGGGGTCATTTCCTGCGGGAGCGCACAGGAGCGGAGCTCCGGCAGTAAAGAGCCCAGGGGGCGGGCACATGCAACAAGCCCCACCCTCTGCTCCCAGCAGCCCTCAGTCAGAGCAAGAAGCAGCCAGGTAAGTTGCAGAGCCCCCCCCTGCCCCCCAGTCCAAGACAGTCCAGTGGGACCTTTAAGACCAAGTTTTATTCAGGTACAAGCTCTCCCTCCTCTGCGAGGACAGATCTCCATGTCCCCCCCCCCACAATAGTTAGCAATCCAAAACAGTCCAGTGGAGCCTAAGCGGTGGGTGTTGCCTTCTGACACACTTCCAGTGATGTCAGGGGGTGGGGCATATGCAAATAAGTTATGCTAATGAGCTCCTGCACCTCTTTTTCTACAAAATGACCCCTGACCAAAGAGCTAAACTGAACTATATGTAGCTATTGTGTGACATGTCTTTATTTTGTGCGGTTTAATACAAATCCTGACAGTCTTTTTAGATTTAGAAAAGTAACAGTAAAAAAATATTCTGCTATTGTAACACAGCAGTGACCTCGATTATGCCCTTTCAATTGATACAAGAATGTGCGTTCACTGTGTTTGTTCTGTCTTGCTATATGTTGTCCATTTTTGTGTGAAAATTTGTTTTAGCTGAATTATATTTTGGTTGGCCCTGGTTAGTATTTGGATGGGAGACCACCAAGGAATACTGGCATCGTGATGCAGAGGGCAGGCAATGGCAAACTGTCTCTGAATGACTCTCGACTTCAGAACCCCATGAGGTCACCACAGGTGAGCTGTGACTTGATGGCAAAAACCAAAAAAAAAGCCCTAATGGCCCATCTTTCTGCCTTCCTTGTTTTCAGTTACCGCAAGTGTGATCCTTCTGAACAACATGCCTTTAAGAATGATCCCCCTTTTGGATGGCTATATGGAGTTGATAAAACTGGAACAATCCAAGTTGGAGACCCTGTATACAAGATAATCTGCTGACTGAAGTTGTGTACAGTACTTTTCAGTTGTCATGTTTTTGGTGCCTCCTACTGCACATACTGTACATGCACGATCGTCTCAATATGAGCAACAGCCATTTTGTCTGAATGGGGTGCCACATGTTTATTCCAGTTTAAATACATTTGAATGCATACCCTGGGGGGGTGGGGATCAGAGTTTTTGATTGTGCACAGTTAAACCAGAATATGTGCATTTCCCTATTTGGACAACATGGTGATCATATGTATTGGGTTGATTGCACATAACACTTTCTGCCAGTTTGCACAGTAGGCTCTCTGGAAATATAATGACTGAAAAAGGCTTATGTGCAAATGGACGTTCTGCATGAATTTTGCTAAGCTACCCTTCTCAGTTCGTTGAATGTGAGAGTCTCCTGTTTTGGGACCCTTTGAGATGTTTACAGTTTGAAGTCTTTAACTGGATCTTTTCAAGTGAGTAATTCTTGCACAAGTTGGCTGCACCTCAATGTTCCCTCTAATTCTTCCCTCTACTGAGTGGAGCAGTTCACCTCCTGAGCAGAAAATAACTGCTGTAATCTTAAAATGGGCAACCAGCAGTGCAAGACCCTGCACAGCTCTAGATTGCTTCCTGTGTTAATGAGCAGCTGCTCAGGTGTACAGCTTAGAGGGAACACTGCTGCACCTGTGCCTTTATTGCTTTTGTTAGGTCTGGTTTGAATGGCACATGACCATACAGGTGGTGGGGATCAGGGGAGAGAGCACACCTAGCACACCGACCTCACTGCCACCAGTTATACATGCAATTGAGTAATGCCTGAATGGGGTTAAGTTCTTCATACATAGGTTCAGTTCATACAGCTGATTCATGGATTTTATCTTGGAGATCAGTTGCACAATCTGATCCTATGCATGGTGATATGGACCTATGCAAATGCTTCAGTACCACCTGAGTGGCTAGTAAGGTTGGTGCACCATGTGAGAAGAAAGGTAAACCTTCCTCTGTGCTTCCCAGCACATGTAGGGTTGAGAATTAGTTGAAGGAGTTGAGACATAGTAAATGCTTTCATAATGGTATAGTTTTATAGCCTGTTCACACCAGAAGAGTTGGATGCCTCTTCATACAATCATAATTTTCAGTGCAATTAACGGCGGAGTTCAGACTGGCAGTTTGCCTCGATATAGGCACGTTTCAGAAATGTTCCACAACCGGATTAAAGGGGCTGTTCACACAGGCACATCTGTCCGGCGTTCCCCAGCCGTACTCAGCCCGTCCTGTAACGCTTCGCTTCTGAGTTTAAAAGATGAAAGTGGTATCAAACCCTGGAAAGCGCATTTATCCTGCATTCATCCTGCACCAACAAAGTGTGAACGCCAAAAGTATTTTTCTTGTGCGCTTATGCGCATAACCGCATATGTCCAGATTACCAAAAAGAAAGCCATGCCTTACAGCTGTGCCTCTGCCAGGGGTGGGCCAACAGTGTGAACGCTCCCTTGCGCCTCCTCCCCAGTATGCTCCCGCATCAGTCGGTGCAGTGTGACTGGGAAAACCCGGAACAGTTTGTTCTGGGTCTTTTTTGCCACGACTCCTTCCCACTTCAAACTGCCCATCTGAACTCGGCCAATATGTAGCTGTTTCAACACAAATCTGGTGTTGTGCAACCATGTAACCAATTTTACAGGTCACTTTCTATTGTCATTTTGGGGGAAATATGAGTATGTGCTTGAGATGCATCTTTGCATTAAAGGTGGGTCCTTCACACCATATTCTATAAACTGTTGCCTTGCTGAAGTGTGCTTTGATGTGATAATCACGATAAACAAGTTCATCTATTTTGTGGCATATTAATACTTATATGATAGAGGTATAATTCAGAATCTGCGCCCCTAATATCCTTTCATGATGGTTGTTGTTTAAACTGATTACTTTTTTCTGGCTAAAATTATATGTTGGTTATAACTCACTGGGAAATTGGCACAGTATTTCTCAATTGACCTTGCAGCTCACCAAAGCTTATGCCACAATAAATTTGTTAATTTTATGGTGTCACAAGACTCTTTGTCCAAGTATGTACCTCCTACTCATTTTTTAAACGTTAATTTTTATATACTATGAAAATACTGTTGATTCAGTTTTGTTTAATTGGACCTGAATCCACCTAGACTTTGCTCTTGCTAATAATTAGCTTGGAAATTAAAGGTTTTAAAATTTCTTCTAAAGATGATCTGGTGAACCTTGAGTGAGTTGTTTTTTTACATGTCTGTCTCTTTCTGAACATAGTTCTTATTTTAATCTTTAAAGCTGCTCAGGGAACTTTGTTGAAGAACTATGCCAGCTGGATGCTGTCTAAGCCCAGATTCAGAGATATGAGGAGCCCTAGGTATTTCCCACAAGGCACACAGGTGT